TGGTATCTGTTAATTCTTTTTCAATTGTTTTCTGTCATGTTTTTGATGGTACGCTGGGTCGCGCGAGCTATATTCTGGATTCCATTACAGTGTTTACCTTGTCATTTTACATATTTGTGGGTCGTCAAAGTGTGTGCAGTAGAGACTTCCTTGTGGGTTTCAACGCAGTGCTTACCTTGCTATATTACATATTTGCGAGTCGTCAAAATGTGTGCAGTAAAGAGTATAGTAGTATGAAATTAATGAAAAAATATTTAATTTTTAATGATACTGGAAAAAAATGGACTCAGCTAAAACAAAAAAGATTAAACTGAAAGTTTTATAGAAATACATGTTAAATTTAAAGTGCAATTTCATTTCTAAGCTAAAGATAATTACAATCCTGAAGAGTTTAAGGCTAATAACCAACCAGATAGTTGATTTCGAAGTTTGCTGCTAGTCCGCAATTAATTATAAGAAAAAAATTGCTTCAACGTTGATTACGCTTGGCTGAATTCAACAAATCGCCATTTTATCTAATGCAATTTCTATCAGTGCCTGGCATCTAAGCTAGCTAAAAAGCATTTTCACATACACTCTCTGCCAAAGTCCTGGAAAATTCGTTGGTTTGAGTGTTCATAAGTGTAAGTATGTTTGGATTTCTGTTGTACCTTTCATTTCCGCAATTCATTTAGTTCCTTGTTACAACTTCCTTTTGAGTTTTATTTTTGTCTGCTTTTAACATTTTAGCTATCGGCGGCGAAGGCCCTCTTAGATGTGTTAGCTCCGTTAGCTCTGTTAGCTGTGTTAGCTGTGTTAGCTCTGTTAGGTATGATGAGGGAGGGATTTTAAGCTTTTATTGTTTCAGCATTAAATTAGTATTATTAAACTCATTGTTGTAATAAATTTAAGATATTAACCTGAAGCGTATTTTAACACAATTGCTGCTAATAGAAACAGCATACTAAGCCGAAAGTATTAGCAGTTTTATGCTTTCATAAATTATTCAGAGAAAATTATTTAATTGTTTTTACACACAGCCACACATAGAGTATAGAGTGTACATAGAGTGAACGCCACCTTTATGGATCGTAAATAATAAAACGGAGTGAAAAATGCGAATAATTGTGAAATAATTACAATTGAAGGAAATACTTTGAAGCAAATATAAAACGTTAGTTTATAGCTTAACAGGCGCCAATAAAAGTTTTCAAATTATAGAAAACAAAATAGTAATTTAAAAAATAGCTAACTGGGAATTGACTAACTCAGACCTGAGGGAGGGACTGGTTCGCTGGATATTGTGGCTAGGAAGAATTGCTTTTCAATATAAAATGCAAAAATATAAAATGCAACGTAAAAAATATTTTAACATTTTAACAATTTTTTTTTCTTTTTTATTCCATTTTGCTTAGCGGTTTGATATTAGCTGTGTAAAAAATTTTTAAAAACTTTTACATTTTTAATGATTAAAACCATTTTTGTTTCAGTTTTAACCACAAATTATACTTTTCTCATATTTTCTCTCTCAGTTTTAGTGGTTATTCTTTATGAATTTTGTTTTTATTTTTTGTGGTTATCAAATGGAAAATGTCTAAAGATATATTAGTTTGTGCATTTTTTGTTGCCTTTTTAGTTATTAAAAATTGAAGAGTTTATAAATATTTTAAACTCAGTACCAACAAAGCTGTCTGCTTGGTGTTCACTCTGCATTTATGAGTATTCGTTACTGAGTCCATTGAACCCAGTTGTGGGTTCATCACTACAAGCCAGATATACTTCATTTTGTTGATGTGTATATTTAAAAAAGGAATACTTTTTAAGCTACTTACTTTCTTTATAAACTGCAAATTAAAATAATTAATAAAAGTTTGACTATTAAAGAGCAAATGATACCCACATTGTTTTATCTTTTATATATTGTCACTAGCTTGTGGCAAATATTTTGCTTAAGTAGCCACAACAAAGAGTTAAATAAATGGTTATTATTTTTATAAGTACAGCTATCAACCTCAATTGTTTTTTTTTAATCCAGCAAAATTAAAAAAAATTAAATTAAAAATAAAATAATAACAATAATAAAATTAAATTTAAAGTGTGTACAGTTAAACTTGAACTTCTATAACTCGAACTAAATAAAGTGCAAAAGGACTTAGAGAGCAAATAACATATAATTATAAAAAAATTCTTTAAATCGAAGTCTCCATAAGTAGCAGGTTTTCTTTGCAAAATAGTACTTCAAATTGTGGAAGTTTGACTGTAGTTAAGAAATATGCTCGAGCAATGTTTTTAATAATTATAATTCAAATAAGAAGATTCATATAATTATTTGAAAATTTTAAACTAAATGAAATGTTAATTTTTATTATACATCAACAAAACTATAAGAAGTATTATCAAAACTAATTTACTGTTTATCCGTTTATTTGATTGCGAAACTTTTACAAAAATTTATTAGCTTATTGTCTATCTATTCCACAGATTAGATGTCCAATTCACTAAAGGTCCATTATTTATTAAATGCTGTTAGCGTTAAATGCAAGTAAGCGAAAAAAGGATTGGAATATAGCTTACTTACTTACGGTAGTGCCTACCACCCATTATCAGGTTTCGGCTGCACGCAACCCTCATCTCCAGGCGCCTTTGCTGCGTTTGCGCCTTCTCCAGTTGCGTACATTAAACATATTTAGTAAATTCTTGACTTGATCACTTCAGCTGAGTTACGGTTTACCTCAACGCTTTCTCACTCATTAGATACACTGCCGCTTTAAACGCCTTTATTTGTTGAAACATCGTCAGCCATTATTACTATATAATCAAGCCAGTGAAACCTTTGGATGTTAATTCATTGAATTGTATCAATGTCGTTATAAAAGTCGTA